GCCAAAGCTGGGACAGCCTTCCTTGGGCAACTCTGGGAAACCCATACTGTTTTAGGAATTCACCTGTCCCATGACTTCGGTTTACAAAATAAGCCAGTCCTCTTTTCTCACACGCTCCCTTGGAATCGAGACACCCCCCCCCACCCCGCCCCCGTGTGCCAGACCTTAGAACTCGTTCTTTGCAGGTTTGCCCTTGACCAGTTGTCTTACCCTCAACATTTGTTTCTTCATTAAGGTTTTTACCTTCGAATATTTCCTGCAGTTTGGTTGAAAATGATTTTTCAACGTTGTGGTTCTGATAACAACTTCCTTCAAAAATTACACTAATCATGTGAAACTGGTACATATCCCATATGGTGTCTGGAAACAGTTACTTTTAAATGACTTTATGCTGAAATGTAGTCATATTTTTGTAAAAAGGCTGCGATCTGGTTTTCATTTGCAGCAGTTTGAAGCCATATTGATTTTTTTTTTCTGCTGATATTTCAGATTTCCCTTTGTAGCAAACACAGTAAGTCAATTAACCCCTTGGCTTCCACCACCATCAAGCAGCAATAGCTTTATTTACTCAAATGGAATGTCTAGAGATTAAAAATTCTTTGATGCTCTGTACAACGTGGGGGGGATATGGTAGAGAGTTATAGATGGGCATGGTCTAGGGCTTGAGTTTGGTACTCAGGTGACTGCTCAAGATTCTGGCTTTCCCAGACCAGCTGGGTGGCCTTGGGCAAGTTACTTAACTTTTTCTGAGGCTTGGTTTCCTCATCTACAAAATATTAATGGAATTTTTCTTACCCCGGAGTGCTGTTAGGTCAGTTAGATGGCCTGGCGCCCTGCCTGGTTCACAGTGGTAAGCGTTTCCTGAATGTCAAAGAGTACCACTACTAACACTGGTGCTGGTTGTAATAGTACTTACAGTAACAGTGGTAGTAATAAGAGCAGTAATGCTGTCTATCACATTTTTCTAGAATAAATCCAAATATGCCAAAAGGCTCGCTCTTCTTTCCTTCTTTCTTTCTTTCCTTCTTTCTTTCTTTCCTTCTTTCTTTCTTTCCTTCTTTGTTTCTTTCTTTTTCTTTCTTTCCTTCCTTCCTTCCTTCCTTCCTTCCTTCCTTCCTTCCTTCCTTCCTTCCTTCCTTTCTTTCTTTCTTTCTTTCTTTCTTTCTCTTTCCTTCTTTCTTTAAATCTTAATGTTTATTTGAGAGAGAGAGAAAGGGAGACACAGAATTCAGAAGCAGGCTCCAGGCTCTGAGCTGTCAGCACAGACCCCAACGTGAGGCTTGAACTCACAAGCCATGAGATCATGATCTGAGCTAACGTCAGACACTTAACCTACTCAGCCACCCAGGAGCCCCCCAAAAGCTTTTCCTAATCCAGATTTTTCCAGACTCTTGTTTGCCATTGTCCATTCCACCCTTTTGTTATTATTATCTTAACTCCTACTCAATGTCAGAGCCTTTGGTAGGTGCTAGAGATGGAATAATGGACTTTTTTAAAAGGGATATTCCTGGGGCACCTGGGTGGCTCAGTCAGTTGAGTGTTTGACTCTTGTTTTCAGCTGAGGTCATGATCCTAGGGTCATGGGATTGAGCCCCAGGTCTGGTTCTGCACTGAACATAGAGCCTGGTTAAGATTCTGTCTCTCTCCCTCTGCCCCTCACTCACTCTCTAAGAGTTACACACACGTTGGTAAATGCTTCAGATGAAAGACAGACATGTGGTCCAGTGAAGGCATGCTTGGTGAAAGGGGACTGAGAGGAAATAGTCCTGAAGAAAATAGTGAGTAAGCAGAGAGGTAGGGGCAAGACCTCTTAGGAGACGGGAATGGCTTGTGCACATGCTCTGCAGGAGGAGGCAGCATGGCCGGCCTGAGAAACCAGTGAGGCCCTTGGTGGCACCACGCTGGATGGGCCACTGGAGGGGCGGGTCCTTGCTGAGGCTGTGGAGGTGGGCAGGGGCCAGACCCTATGGGCTTTAGAGGGATTTCAGAGAACTTTGGCTTCTCCCATACATACTCTTCCTACTGCTCTTCTAATCCCATCTCAAATCACATTTCCTAACTGTTGACTGAGTTGGGAAGAAGACAGTGTGGTTTCTATGAGCCCTCCTTTCATCTCCTCTGGTGCTGTGACTCACTGTGTCCTTCCTCACAGCTACTTGGACCCGAGGATTATCTGAAGCCCTACTGATGAGGGAAGATTATTCACATTCTCCCTAGCCACAGGTGGACACCAACATTACAGTTGTGACTGGCACGTTGTATGTGATCGACAATTTGATTAAATGATTCGCATCACTTTTGTTCAGTTTCCTATACAATGACTCTCACATAAGTGACAGGATCTTTCTGGTATTAAAGTTTCTATGAACATAGGTAGTCAGTGGAATATATTTTATTAACAGTGGTGTGAATTACATTCCTCAAAGTTGGGGTGCCTCTGTCAAACCCACCAAGCCAACTTATCCCTTTGTGAGGCTCTTTCGAAAGTCAGAAGGTGAGGTATCTCTTGATTTGAAATGAACCCCTGAGCCCCCCTTGCCTTCACCCTGCATGAAGAAAACACTAGCTTTTCCTTCTGTTCAATTTGAATTTAAGTTTATGTATTTATTTTGAGACAGAGACAGACAGCGCAAGTGGGGGAAGGGCGGGGGGGGGTTGCGGAGAGAATTCCAAGCAGGCTCCACACTGCCACTGTAGAGCCCATCGCGGAGCTCAGACTCAGGAAGCTGCGAGATCACGACCTGAGCTGAAACCAAGAGTTGGATGCTTAACCGACTGAGCCACCCAGGCGTCCTTTCCTTCTGTTCGATTTGAAACCAAATACAGTTGTAGTTTTTGTTATTGGTTTTGGGTATTATAGTTCCCCTTCTTTCTAATGATAGCAGATTATAGATTGTTCCTAAAGCCCTTTGCAGGTATTAAGAGGAAGATTGATAGATCCTTATTGTTGACACTTCCTCTCCCCGTGGCTGTTCATACTTTATCCGGAACACCCAAATAATCGTCGTTTGACACTGCCAGGTTCCCACGTGTTTGCAGCAAGCCTCTTTCACACTTACCTAAGACCGAGAAATTGTGTAAGGTTGGTTTCTAGTCTTAACACCTTTCTCTTCCAAATGCTTGTGTCCAGTGGCATTTCATGTATGCCTGTGGGTAGATGGAGGTTTCTGTGTGTGCAAGTAGCCTGCCGTCTTTTAGACTTAAAAGGAAAACAAAATATAAATATACAAGATCAGCGACAATTTATTAGATGAAGGTGATGGTAGGATGGTGGCATGGTGTGTCCAGCAGAACTTTCTACACTGTCCACTGCAGCAGCTGCTAGCCACATGTGGTTGGTGAGCACTTGAAATGTGGCTAGTGTGACTTGGGAGCTGGGCTTTTAGGTTTCTCTCATTGTAATGGATTAAATGTAAATATAAATAGCCACACAGGGCTAGTGGCTATTGGACAGTATACATTTGACGGGTCCCAAGGGGTGTCTATGGACGTCAGCAGGGTTGAGCAATTCTTCGCCTTTGGTCTACCCAGTTGCCTACAAAAGAGGTCTGAGTACCTTCCTTAACTACCCACGCTCAGTAACTAAACCCTTATAAGTATACAACCTTAATTTTTAAAAATGTGTTTACTCCCTCTTTGGCTTCCTTCCTTGGTTTCTGTTGCCATTTCCCTTACAGAAACCCAGCAAAGACTCAGATGGGTCCTTGCCTTCCTTTCCATCCATCTTACATATTTCGGCTCCACTAACTCTCCTCAGGATTAAGATCCCCAAATGACTCTCCAATTTTCTCAGGATAGAGTTCAAAGTCGCCCGCTTTAATGAACATAATGGCTTTTCTTGGTTTTCTTGGTTTTGTCTCGTGTTGTGAAATCCTGGCTGTTTCAGTGTCAGCTGATTGTTAAGTTTTTACTAATAAAGTTATTTTTATTCTCCATTGCATACGGGGCATACATTATCTTTTCTCTGTTTAGGGCTTTCAAAAAATCTGCCTCTTCCCACCCCCCACCCCCCAAAGCCTATACGTGCCAGTGCACACAGCCATTCTAGCCTTGACAAATCAAACAGCCGCAGGCAGCCGAGCCCTTCACCTTTGGTCTCTCACCTGGATATCCCTCCCCAGCCCACCCACCTTGCTGGCTCTCTCGGCTAGTTATTCGCCCTCCCCTGCCCTGTTCACTGAGCTGAAACTAGCCTCAGTAAAGACTGAGCTTCCATACCCCTTCTTTTAAGAAATCTTAGGTGCCCTTTCAGTGATCTCCCAGCTCCTGGGCGCATAGGCACACGGAGCAGGGCCAGAGGAGGCTGCCTTGTGATGTCTGTTGAGCCGCAGGTCTCCTTGTTTGGATCCCCAGCGCCCCGAGGCAGCGGCCAGAACGGTTTCATTCCTAGGTCTGGGTCTAACCCCTTATAAACGCTAAATACCTGTTGAATGAATGAACCTAACAGTCCTGTGCTGTGATGTGGGGAGTTCTCCGCGCCCATCCTCACCTCTCCCCCTCCCCCAAAAGAGAAACAACCAAAATAAAGCCAAACTCCTCACATAGAGTGTGATCTTCTATACATTTTGGGGAACTGGATAGTGCAAAGTTGGAGATACTCTTGCTTCTATTCATTGTTGAATGGCATTCCCGGTTCTCGACCGAATGACTTCTTCATTGACTGCTGCCAGCATCCGTAATGGCTGCTGTCTTGTCACAAAGGCATCGCTTGGACATCATTTGTTGCATCAACAAACACTTGGTCAGAACCTGCCATGCATCGGACACCACTCTCAGTGCCAGGGTGCTAGGGATGAAAAAATGGGACAAAAGCATGCAGGGTCCCTTCTCTTTACTACCCCACATACTAGTGGAAAACGATAAACAGCCAGTCGGTTGAGACATCTGATTCTTTGAGGCAGTGAAGCAGCAAATGAAATAGGCCAGCCAGGCACTCAGTACGTGTCAGACGCTCCTATTAATGTCTTTAGTGCTCAGAGCAAGCCTATACCTTCATTTATTCTCGAGAAACTGAGGCCCAAAGGGTCAAATAAATCAGCTAAGGTCACAGGCCTTACAAGTAGCAGAGCCAGAATTTGAATGCAAACATCTGATTCCAGTCGATGGCTTGACCATGGTGTCGCCCACACTCAGGACCTTAAGGAGAGGTGTTTGGAATTATATGGTCAGGAAAGAGTTTTCTGAGAAGGTAAGTCTAGCCTTACAGAGAACTCAGGGTTTACAGTATTCCTCCTGGAGAGAAAGTCAGAAACAGGTTTGACAAGTTTAAATAACAACAGGAAGGCCAGCCTGCTTATGAAGCATTAAAGAGTGGGGGTAGGGTAGAGGTAATGGTGAGAGAGAAAGGCAGAGAGCCTACAAGAGCGGGGACTATCTTTTTCACTCAAGCTGGGTAGATGAATCCACAGCACCCAGATGAGGGTCGAAGTCATCAAATACATCAGCTACTAGATAGAGAAGACGTACCGTTTTACTCATAGTTTTGGTCATTGCTAGATAAAAGTAAGATAGTGGCTGTCATCTCAGTTCATGTGTCATCTTAGCTGTGGTTGGAGCTATGGTAATGAAATGCCTTTTTGGGCACAAGTTAAAGAACTCAACATCTTGCTGCTGATTTTCTCAATATGATCATGATAAACCAGATATGTGGTCTGTAGTCTCTGATCAAAAGAGAGACATGATAGCAGAAACAGTTCACTTTATAATGCTTACATTACAACAACGAAAGAATGGGTGTGTGACACGGGTAGCTGGGTTGTGTCAGAGCTACCTTTCTGTGCATGCTCTTGAGCAGCGCACTTTGAGATTGCTTCTAAGAGCTACCCGTCCATTTTTATCAGTAGTCTGGAAGCCTACATGTATTTGGTTTATTGAAATGCAACTTATCCTCAGGGTGGCCCGAGCCATCTGACATTAGAACAACTTTGTAAACTGATCCATGACCCGTGACGGACTAATATGTAACTGTTGATATCAGATGGAAGTGACCCAACATTTGGCAGGAAAGCTACTTCTCATCTTCCTGCCATGCTCCCTTGTAGCAGGAAGAGAATTTGCATGACTGTTGGATGAGCCAAGTAAATCTATGAGATATAAAGCAAAACTTGGAAATCGCTGCACACATTCAATTAATCCCTCAGTTATATGTTAACGAGTTAACAGCATGTGTGTTTGTCTAACATCCTGTCTTGTTTATGTCTTTCTGAAGCCAAATCTGGATGGAGGGTCTTCATTTAATTTAATAATTTAATAATTTTTAATTAAATTTTAATTAAATAATTTAATAAGCACTTAATAATGCAAAAGGTCATTTGCTATTTTTGCATCCCCTCCTCCATTCCTAACACCTGTTTGGAGTAGTACTCTGGATTCTACAGAAGGCAAGTTTGGTTCACAGAACAGAACTGTTTACCCATGGCAAGCTTCTGTAGCTTGTTTCTGCGTGAAGGCGCCAAGTATTTGCAAACTCATAGACTTCCCAAGGTAAATAAACTAGTCTTCTTTTCCAACCTTCCAAGAAAGCCGTGTTTATCTACCCACCTCATGCAAACAGTGGCCACTCATTGATCTCTTGGTGAAGGTCTCTCACCAAACAGAGTGCTTTTCAGACATTTCCTGATAAATCCCAAGTGATGCTATAAAAAAAAATAGAATTCTGTTATTCTCGTTTTACAGTTCAGGAAATTGAGGCTAAGGGAGGGAATGGAAGTAAATGAAAGTTGCGGAGATTGTAAGGCGTGGACTCAGAACTTGAATCTAAGTCCAGACTCAAAATCCCAGTTCTTTTTCCCTTTGCTCACTACAGTGTCTCCATTCATAACCAGATTCCCTTTCCTTAATAACTACATTTGTGTGTGGCACATATGTGGAGTTGGCACTGTGCTGGGTACGCTGGCAGATAGAAAAAAAGGAAAAATAATGCCTTGGATAATGAGACATGAGTCTTACATAAGTAGTGCATCAAATATAGGGCTGAACTAAGGCAGAGGTCTCAAAGCCAAATGTCCACAGCACCAGACTAGCTATGGAATGAGTGACATGGGACAATGGGGAAGGTTGGGTGCAGCCACTTCTTAGCTGCTGTCCAAAAGCTATCTATACAAAATAGAATTTCTGACTTCTCTTGAAAAATTGGACGATACGAAATTAACACAGAGTTGAAAAACAAGCCTACTGAGTGGAGAATTATGTCCGCAAGAAAGTGGAGAAGTTTCCAGTGCCTGACCCCTCGTCGAAACATCAGTTTGAACGACTATCCGTGCGTGAAAATAGCTTTACAAGAGTGCAGCTAAATGAATTAAAGGCTTAAGCCGAAGACTGGAAAATATAAAACTATGTCAGAAAACAAAAATTCAACTGAGTAAATTTTAAAGAGCTGGCTGGCTTTGTCCCACAATTCGTGGAGTCGGCGGCAACCCGTCTAATATATAGAAAGGAATCCAGGAAGCTGTACAACACGGAAGACTTTTATAGGCAGAAGGGGGCGGGATAAAACAATTATATTGGCAAAAAGTAGATTGGTTGTGGTGAGGCCATCATCCTTTAGGGGAAAAAGCAGGAGTCTTTCAGGCAGATTACATCCTAGTCCTGACCGGGTAATTTCTGATTGACTGGTTTCAGATTCCATTCCTGAAAGAGGCCCAAACCGTAATTAAGTATGGTGACAGGGGCACGTAGCATAAGTGACTCTATTTGGGGACTATTGTCGCTTTTTTAACAGCCACTAGAAGAGAATGTAGGGAACAGGCTTTTGACATTGGTCTGGGCAATGAATCTTTGGGTGTGACCCCAAAAGTGCACACAACAAAAGCAAAAATAGACCAATAGGATTGTGTTAAACTGAAAAGCTTCTGCACAACAAAGAAAACGATAAACAAAGTGAAGAGACTGCTTATAGACTGGAGAACAATTTGCAGACTGTATTAGCTGATAAGTGGTTAGTATCCAAAATACATAAGGAATTAGGTAACTCAGAAAGAAAATAGATATCCTGATCTTAAAAACGGGCAAAGAACTTGAGTAGGTATGCACATGGCCAACAGGCATATGAAAACATATTAAACATCCTTAATTATCAGAAAATACAAATCAAAACGATAATGAGATATTACCTCACACCTGTTTGAATGAACATTATCCAAAACGACAAGATAACAGGTGCCGGAAAAGACATGGAGGAAAGGGCACCCTCGTACACTGTTGGTGGGAATGTAGAGTCATTATGGAAAAGAGCACGGAGGTTTCTCAAACAAACAAAAATTGAACTATCATATGATCCAGCAATTCCAGTTCTGGATATATATCTGAAGGAAATAAAATTAGGATCTCCATGAGCTGTCTGCATTCTCATGTTCGCTGCAGTGTTATTCACCATAGCCAAGGTAGGAGACCAACCTAAGTGCCTAATAGCAGAGGAGCAGGTAAATAAAATGTGGTATACATGCACAGTGGAATATTATTCAGCCATAAAGAAGGAAGGAATTCTGTCATTTGTAACGACATGGATGGACTGGGTGGACATTGTGCTAAGTGAAATAAGCCAAGCAGAGAAAGACAAATACTGTGTATATGTGGAATCTAAAAAAGTTGACCCATAGAATCAGAGAGTAGAATGGGGATTGCCACGGACCTAGGGTGGGGGCAATGGAGACGTGTTGGTCAAAGCGTTAAAAATTTTAGTTATACAAGATGAATAAATTCTGAAGATCTAATTATAGCATGGTGACTATAATACTGTATTATATACTTGAAATTTGCTAAGAGAGAAGATCTTACAGTTTTCAACACATACAAAATATATGGTAACTTTGTGAAGTGATGGATTTGTTAATTAGCTTGATTCTGGTAACTATTTCACAATGTATATGTCTATCAAAACATCACATTGTACAGTTTAAATATATATAATTTTAATTTGTCAATTATATCTCAGTAAAGCTGGGGAAAAAAGCTACTGAGGGCCAGGCTGGGTCTGTGGACACCAGTTTGTAGCCTCTGTTCTAGAAGGCTGGTTTTCCAAACCCTAGAAATCCAGACTCTGAGCATCCGAGTTGGGAGGTCCATCCTTAAGCCTGATATTCAGCCAAGGTTGAAGATGGGCTCTGATGCCCATAACTGGGCTCTGATGTTACGCAGCACCCAACAAACCTATCTGTTGCTACGTGTGTACCAGGTTCTCAAGTGGGTTTGCTGCCTGTACAGAGATTTTACTTTGCATCACAGTAAGTTACCTGCGTGTCATCCCAACTGATAAAAAGAGTAGACTTTCAAATATGGAAAGGCCCTTAAATGACCACGTCTCTTTGTTGAGCAGATGAGAAAATTGAATACCAGGCACAAATGATCAGCTGCTAATCACTTGTGAGGCTTTGGGCAATCTCTTTGTTCTCCCTGGATCCCATTTCCTTCCTCTGTAAAGTCAGAGGGGATGAAATACACAATTGCTAACATCCCATAATCCTATGATTATTTTCCTTGGTTTTACCTTAAGGCAGGGGGTGAGGAGGGGCAGGAGAAGATAAATAACTGTCGAAAATTGGGACCAGCCGTTTCCAACACGGTGTTCCTCTCTGGCTCTTCCACACCAGCCCTGGGAGGGCTTGGGAAGCCCAGTCAGCCACCCACGCCCTGTGTGCAGCTACCCAATGAGCAGACGCCACGTGGCGTACTTCATCACATCTCTGGCTTGGCCTCCAGCTTGGGGCGCTCTTTGAAACAAATGAGTGCTGTCAGTTCCACAGAAGGCGGGGCAAGGTGGGGTGGAGAGCTTGACATAAGCCATCACCACTACAGAAACAAGGAAGAACATATGTCTTCCCGATGCTGTGCAACCGTGGGCAGCAGCCTTGGGAATGGAAGAGCATCATTTATCCCCCCAAAACTGAGTTGCACTATCTTGCAAATAACAGCAGGCGCTATTTGTGCCGCTCCAGCGGAGTCACCGGACACGTGTCGATTGTTTCTTCTAGGAAAATCACTACTTTTGGCAAACGTGTTTTAGACATCAGCTACCTCAATTCCCTACTCTCCAAACTCAGAAGCCAAATAAATGTACGTAGTGAGAATTTAAATAGCGGGAGGTGCCACTAATCTACTGATTATTGCTTTTCAGCTAGCAAGGATTTAGGGTTTTAACAGCAATACTCCTGTGAAAATATTGATCTGAACTGCTTTGGTATTGAGAATTTAGATTTCAGTACTTGAATACGTGTATCTGGAATGCTTAGGCTCTTTGAGAAACCAGTCTGAAGCAGTGATGGTATAATGAGTTGATAAACCGGATGTTACCTAATGTGTAATTTTATAGTTTTCTATTGTCTATGTTTTTGGCATATTTCACAAAAATGTGGCAAAATATGGCAGGCAGACTATAAAGTGTGAAAGGAGCATATCCTTCACTGTTATGGAAGGCAGAGTCTCTACAACTTGGGTCTAGCTAGTTTTCTTTCTTTTTTTTAATGTTTGTTTTTGAGAGACAGACAGACAGACAGAGCATGAGCAGGGGAGGGGCTGTCAGCACAGAGCCCAACCTGCCGCTTGACCTCCCAGGCTGTGAGATCATGACCTGAGCCGAAGTCGGAAACTTACTGACTGAGCGACCCAGGTGCCCCTAGCCAGGTTTCTAGAACATAGATGAGCTCTTCTTCCTTCCCCTCAAAATCTTCGGCCATTTCTCAATGTACAGGAATTTGATATTGTTCTCAGAGGTGGTCTGAGTTTGCACTCCCATGGAATTTTGTGTATTCCCTCATTCCTTCAGCATGATTTGAGTGTCATGCCAATGCCAGCTGAGTTCCAAGAGCGCAGTCAAATACATGATCTGTCCTTGCAGGGACAAATTTTACATTGCAAATTTGAGCCGTATAGCTCCCTTTGGTAAGTGCTGTAGTAACACGCAAGATGGTAATGAAGCCTATGAGAGAAGCGTGTGAGTAAATCGTAATGATGAACCAGGAGAGGGACGTAATCTATCTGATTAATTGGCTATTATGTTTGTCTCCCAAAGGAGAAGCATCCTTAAATGTAAGCATCAATATCTTGCCCATTTTTATGTCTCTCTTAGTACTAAGCATGTTGCCTTATTTCTTTTTTTTTAATTTAAATTTTTTTAAATGTTTGTTTATTTTTGAGAGAAAGAGACAGAGCATGAGCAGAAGAGGTGCAGAGGGGCGGGGGGGGGGGGGGGGACACAGAATCCGAAGCAGGCTCCAGGCTCTGAGCTGTCCGCACAGAGCCCAACGCAGGGCTTGAACTTACGAAGTGTGAGATCATGACCTGAGCTGAAGTCAGATACTGAACCGACTGAGTCACCCAGGTGCCTCATGTTGCCTTATTTCTAGTTATTTCATTAATTCTGCGAATGTTTACAGAGCACCTACCATGTGCCAGAGATGAGCAAGAAAAACATAAGCTCTCGGTTTTATGGAACTAATAGAAGCAACAACCAGTAAACACAAAAGGAGCTATGAGATAGATCATCAAGTAAGGCTAAGGGCTATATGGAAAAATAAAGCCGACTGAGATGGAGAATGACAATATTTGCTTTGTTTTATAGGGTGGTTTGAAGAGGTGGCCTTTGAGCAAAACTAAGGGAGGTATCTGGGGATAGATGCCCAAAACCACAATCACAGTGGTC